TTCTTATTAGGTGGCAAGCGTGGATACAGTGCCGAGCGGGTGCGCGTGAGCGGGTGTTCGTATTAGGTGGCAAGCGTGGATACAGTGCCGAGCGGGCGCGCGTGAGCGGGTGTTCGTATTAGGTGGCAAGCGTGGATACAGTGCCGAGCGGGTGCGCGTGAGCGGGTGTTCTTATTAGGTGGCAAGCGTGAATACAGTGCCGAGCGGGTGCGTGAGCGAGTGTTCTTATTAGGTGGCAAGCGTGGATACAGTGCCGAGCGGGTGCGCGTGAGCGGGTGTTCTTATTAGGTGGCAAGCGTGGATACAGTTGGCCGAGGGCCGGGTGCGAGCGTGAGCGGGTGTCTTATCATTTGCCCCAAGCGTGGATACGTTGCCGAGCGGGGTGAGGTCCGTGAGCGGGTGTGCTTATTCGGTGGCAAGCGTGGATACGGTGCCGAGCGGGTGCGCGTGAGCGGGTGTTCTTATTAGGTGGCAAGCGTGGACACAGTGCCGAGCGGGTGCGCGTGAGCGGGTGTTCTTATTAGGTGGCAAGCGTGGATACAGTGCCGAGCGGGTGCGCGTGAGCGGGTGCTCTTATTAGGTGGCAAGCGTGGATACAGTGGCCGAGCGGGTGTGCGTGAGCGGGTGTTCTTATTAGGTGGCAAGCGTGGATGCAGTGCCGAGCGGGTGCGCGTGAGCGGGTGTTCTTATTAGGTGGCAAGCGTGGATACAGTGCCGAGCGGGTGCGCGTGAGCGGGTGTTCTTATTAGGTGGCAAGCGTGGATACAGTGCCGAGCGGGTGCGCGTGAGCGGGTGTTCTTATTAGGTGTCCGAGGTGTCACGACTACGTGTCACGACTACGTGCAAATACCACACGAAAATGGTTTTTTCTGGCTGGTGAGATGTCCGAAGTGCCACGCAGGCCACACGAAATTCGACGCTCAAGGAGGCTGGAAACGCACGTGGCGGGGGCGCGCCCCATTACTGACGAATACCATACCAAAAGCTGTTTTTTGAGCGGCGATATTTCCGAAGTGCCACGCAGGCCACGCGAAAAGCTACGTCAGCGAAAGATGAAATCGCGCGTTTACGTAACGTCGGAGCCAACAACAACAACAGCAACAACAACAACAACAACAGCAACAGCAACAGCAACAGCAACAGCAACAGCAACAGCAACAGCAACAGCAACAGCAACAACAACAGCAACAACAGCAACAGCAACAGCGACAGCAACAACAACAGCAACAACAACAACAACAACAACAACAACAACAACAACAACAACAACAACAACAACAACAATAAGAA